CTACTGAAAAACAACCAAATATATGGCACTAGAATAAATATTGAAATGAGAACGTACTGCTTTTTTTTTTTTTTTTATAAAATATATTTTTTATTTTTTTTATATTATTTTATTTTTTTATGATTATCAGCATCCAATATTCGTTTCTGAATAAATAAATTATAAAGCAAAGTATAACCTATATATATATATACTTATATTTGATAGATTGTTTTATAGTACATACTATATAAAAAAATATAATAATGTAAAGAAATCAAAAATTTACAAATTGATTGATCCGAATTTGTTATATTTATAATTTATCTTATAATATAATTATATTGGATCAAAGTAATGATTAACCTAATTGACATGTAACATCACAAGAAGAGCCGAATAAAGTTACCCATAATGAAATTTTGTTGGACAATATGCTTAAAAAAATTAAACCTGCTGCTACCGCTATACCACTGATAGTAAACAGTATATTCAGTGAATTAGGACCGTACATATTCTTCTCTCCTTTTACGTGACTCACATATGCAATAATACTATTAAAAGACCAAATCGTGCAGATCATAGTCAAAAATTTGCTACGGCAAAAAAATCCGACTGGAGGAACAAAATAAGCTATAATCACTGCAAACCACGGAAGTAAAACTGAAATAAGAGCAATAATCGCAGTGAAACTACTGCTAGTCTTTCTTTTAATTAAATCGTTTACTATTTCTATTTTACCGTTTAAGCGTTCTGAATCCACCATGGTTACTACATTCCCATACTTTATTCTAACGTTAATTGCCGGCAGCGTCCAGATGAATAACAAAGGTATAAAAGGCCAGTCTTCTACTGAATCATCATCCATGCATGGACTTAATGCTTTAGAAATTACGGCGAATATGCCCACCGATATATAATATAACGAAGACAATGATGACAACCTATCTAATAAAGATGCTTTTGAAACCCAATCATTCATAACTTTTTCCTGCGACTCTGTAGGCTTAATAATCAGAGCATAATGCCCAAAAGGTCTTATACGTCTTATGCCCTTAGTTTCTCCTTCTTCGACCACTTTGATGCCATTATCATCCTTAGTGCAGATAAAATTATTTGCTTCAAGCCAGTACGAACACATTTCTATGGGTTTGCACTCTATGTTGCAAAAGTAAAATAAACCAAAAAAAGGCGATCCAAGACACCTTGCAAACCATAATAGCTTTGCCAATAAACTTTTATAAGGATTTGTTGCTACTATTGCCAATATTGGAAGAGTTCCTAATACGAACTGCGGAATTGGGTTTTGCAGCTTATGTATTAAGGTTAATAATCCTGTTTCTGATGTCATTTTATAATATTTTTGAGAACAAAATAATAATTTAATTCAAAATTGCTGTGAGAACAAGTTAATGGTGTTATTCAAAATTGCTGTTATGAGACTAATTATATAAAAAAAAATTTATTTTGTGTTCGAAAATTAAAATCAGAAAATCTTATTTTGTTTTCTGATTTATAACTCAAACAAATAAAAATGCTATTTGCAAAATCCTATTTATATGTGTAATTTTTTGCTGATTTGAATCCCATTACATAAAATTATAAATCAGATTTGAAAATTAATGTTTGTTTTTGTTCGCATCTTCATTAGATAATCTAATAAGTGTAAAAGCTACGGATATATGGGCTAGGTGCTGCAAAAAGGGGAATTGAAAACTTTTTTAAAATTAATTTTTTTACATAAATTAATTTAAAATAAGATCCGTTCATTTTTCACTTAAGACACAAAAGTTGTTGTATTAATAAAATTTTGTAGTATAGCTATTCAAAACTTGCAATTTTTTATGATTTATTATAGAATTTATAACATAAAAATTTGAGCACTCAGCCCATATTATTTATTGTAATAAATACTTGGATGTTGTGAAGTGAAAGCCAGGAAGTCCAAAAATAAAATTCTTCATATAACGGAATGATGGTTTTTAACTGATTTGTCTAGAATACACGTAACAAATTATGCTGTTTTTTGATCACATATTAGTATCATTTAGAGTCCGTATTCTGTTTCTAATGAATTCTATCTTAAGACTTTCTGAATCACTTGGCAGTAATCATTTAAAAGTGAAATAAACTACGATTATCTGATAATAATGTATTCACAGAGCTTCTTAAAATAGCAATCTAAGGAATTTTTTAATGATTTGAAAAAAGGCGGCACAAAATTTTATAAATTGATTGACATTATTTTCATAATATATCTGTAATAGTAATGATTGTCCTAATAAATATCTAGGAATTATTAAAATGCAAACGCGCTAGCTTTGTGTTAAAGCAGTTATTATCCATGTAGTATCAAAATATTTTCAAATAATTTCTTTATATTTCTTATCACTAACATTATTAATAAAATCTCATTATTATATATATTGGCCGATTTAGACAAGGAAATTCAATCTCCCCAAGTTAGGGCGTGTCAATTTCATATGTCTAATGAGGTGCATCACTAAGGAAATTGTATTTCCTTATCAAATCAGCTGATATGGTAACATTTATGAAGAGATCTTTTTATGTGTTTTCCCCAGAAAGTTTTCATAAAGTTTTTAGCAAATTATAGAATAAGATTGGCCCATGACTGATTTTGATAATTTATTACTATTTAAAATGTTTAGTTATTATATAATATTGAACTGGTGTAACCATAACATTGGGTTCTGAGAAATTCCGCCAGAAGTCTAGACTAAGGATGACTCCAAAATTCAAAAAAGGAAATTAGTAATCAAGTGATGTTGCAATTTCTTTTTTTTTGAATTTCGGAGCCATCTTAAGTCTAGGTTAGGCACGATGATTTATGCGATGATTAATTTCTGCGATAATAAATAGCAAACATGCCAGATGATCAACAAAGGATCAGTAACACGACCAGAAAACTTCAAAACAAACGTTCATTTTGTTAAAAATCACTTATTTCTCAAAAATCTGCATAAAAAACCACCTTTAGTGCTTTAATAAAAGTTTTCCTTAAGCAATTTTACCATATAGCTACCTACTCTCTAACCTTATTCTAAACGCTAACCTTAACATTAATTAATTTTAAAAAATTTTCCTGTGTCACAGTGATCGACAAACCTGGCACAGATTTTTTGTTTGCTAATAAATATTATGATCACTGCAGAAAATCATCGTTTCTGGTCTAGACACTATATGATGTGACACATTGTGATAAGCTTTTTTGGCTTTATGTTATGTTTCTGATTAGGATTTGTAGTTATAGGCCTTGAAAGATTATCGCTTATATGTAAAATTAAGTTTCAGATATTTTTTGTCAGTGTTCAAAGGCCGATTTAAACACTAATTAGAACAAACCCCCTCCCCCCCAAAATTTAATTTTACAAGATACTACACATGTATTGATTTAAATAGTTGACCAAATACCCAACATGATGTGCAGTAATTAATTTAATTTGGCTTACCTCGCCTAGAAAAAATGGTAGCCGGACAAATTTGCCTGTTTCGGATACTAACATTCGGTTAGTGATGATACCCGATCGAAAAAATGCTACCCGGTTATATGACGGGTATACCCGGCGGGTTACCCGGGTGATCAACAGATATATCCGGGTATAAAATCCTACCCGATATACCCGGATAAGGTTAGATAGTTGCGCGACGTTATTGCGCAAAACCAGGAACAGAAAACCTAAAATAAGAAAACAGCTAGATAAAATGTAAGAATTTGTGCCTAACCGATTACTTTATCCTTCAACTGATTACTTTTTAATCA